CATTTAAAAGGGACACTAACAAAAAAAAATAAATCTTTTCAAGGATGTATTCTTAAAAGAAAAAGTTCACCCTTTGATAAAAAATAATATATGCACATTTTTTGTAGGTAAAAAAATGTGCATTGATTATTTTTTGCTGCAGGAGTCTGTAAAGCATTGCACCAGCGATCAGCAGATCGCTGGTGCTATGCAGGTCTCCTGCAGGTCTGTCAGTATATCTGCTCGCCTGTACAGGATGTATGAGCAAGCAGATATACTGACAGGAAGATTCAATGAACTACCATATCACTCCACAGTGCTGTAGTAGTTAATTGAGAACTACAACCAACAGCCACTAAGGCTGTCGGGACATGTAGTTTCTCATTCGCAGAAGAGTGACGTGGCTGGGCAGGCGGAGCTCCACATAGCCACGTGTTTTAAAATTTGACAGCTAGTGAGGGGGGAGAAGATCCCCCGCTAGCTGTCAAAGCAGGGGTTTGGGGGAAGTGGGGGGGCCAGTGCTTTCATAACCCTTAATATGGGTGTAACATGTTATGAAAGGTGAACTTATCCTTTAACTCATACACGTGCCTTCTATTTCTCTCAGTCTTCTCTAAACTTCTTTTATTTTTTTTGGTGCTATAATCTGACTTTCTGTTACAGGGTGGCTACATTTGTTCTCCGTGGTCCCACTGTATGTAGGAGCATAGTCGCTTCTCTTGCTGGCTCTAAAGATGGACTAGAGACTATGGGATTGTGTGTATAAAGCAGTGCAGATAACCGCTTGCACTGCTTTTTCTAAACAAAAGGAAGTAAGGGGGAAAATCTGAGGTTGGAGAGCTCAGTGAGCATGTTACAAGGAGGCAGAAAAACACAGTAAGAAATGATTTAGTAAAAGACAAATTACAGGGCAATTAAGCAATGGATGCTCGTGGACTATTTTTGGAGACTAGGGATATCATGTACTGTCGTTTTATGTCCTGTTAACAAGCGTTGTAATCTCTTGTTATGGCTTGTAAAGCCTGAAAACCTTTTTTAATAAATATAATAACCAAGAAAAATTAAGTGTGTAACATCTGAAACACGGTAGCTAAAAAGTATTTTCCAATGGCTAGACAGAATAGAAGAGCTTGAACAGGCCTCAAATCTAGCGACACAAGGAAGGGGTTTTCCATAAAAAAATTACAACTTTGCAGAAGGAAAAGAAGGAGGCAGTGCCAAGAGGTGGTAATGACGGCAGCAACTGATTTGAACTGCAAACAGTTTTGAAATAAAACATTTATTTTGTGGCATCTGCAGCAGGTGTTTGGTAGTCAGGCATTTATTATCTGGAGACAGGCAGAAATACTTATCTGTCCCAAACTCCTCCCTTGTCAAGATTTCCTTATCTAGTCATCAATCATAAGGGTCTTTGCTCTAACTGTGATGGTACCTGTAGGCTGTTCTTCTTGCTGTAGAAGTCTGCAGAGGAGGTACATTGGTCGACAGAAAGAAATTGCTGCTACCGTTGGAAAATGACGAAATCAGTAAAAGCACCTCCTTGAGCCCTGGTTCACACTGATGTGGTGTGAATTCCGCACCGCATCACAATCGCACTCCATTCGTATGAACCGATGCGGGAGAGTATGTTAAGTTAACAACACCCCGACATCGGTCTGTAAAACGCGGTGCGATGTGCAGAATCGGATCTCATAGGTGTGAATACCCATGAGATCCGATTCTAGTGTGGACCAAAAAAAGGGTCCTGCACGTTTTTGGTGCGGGTGTGGTGCGAATAGAGCCATACAAAATGCATAGCTCTATTCGCACCGCATACAAATCGCATGTGATTTGTACAGGAATGCATGGCGTTTCCTGTGCGAATCACCTAGGATTTACTGCACCGCTGTAGTGTGAACCTAGGCTAAAACCAATGTCCAAGCAATTCTTTGGGGCCAGAGTTCTAAGTGTCACTGGCTAGCTGAAAAGTGGGACAGTTTAAACACAGGTACTGATTTACCACTTTATGGCACCTGCCATTTAGGGAGATCTTGATTGAATGGGTTTTAACAGTGTACATGTTTGCTTTTAAGTAAAATAAATACATATAAAATTTAGAAAACATCCAGTGCTTTTACAGGACTCTGTAATGTTTTCTGTAGCATTAAGGTATAACTAAAGGCAAAACTTTTTTTTTTGTTTGTTTTTTTTAGCAGCAGATAGAGTGGAGATGAATCAGAACACCTGCCAGTTTTTATTGCGGTCTGTGTCTTGGTAAGGGAGATTTACCCTCTTTATTTGTCTTGTTTACCAATCTCATTGAAAGTGAAAGTTAAAAAAAATCCCATTATTTGGGTTGTCCCCAGGAAAGTAATAGAGGGGAAATATTGCAATTGGGACACTAGTTCTGGTGACCTGATGGTCCCCAAGGAATTCCCTATTTGCAGAGATTTCCTCTCACTTCCTGTTTGGCTATGGGACAAGAAGAGAAGGGAAATCTGTACAATGGGACACAGATAGAAAAAAGAAATCGGACAGGGGTTCTAACCCTCCCTTGCTCTATCCAAAATGAAAAATAAAGGTTTTACCTATAGTTCTGCTTTAAGCAGTTCAGATATGTATTTTACTTAAGGCCGGTTCACACCATACAAATGCAGTCCAGATGTGTTCCAGATGCATTTCTGTAGTGTTCCGGTTCATTTTTTCCCTTTCCTTTTCTTCAACTTAAATCAATTCTAAATGGGTCTTGTTTTTTTTTTAATAAAAAAGGTCTATACTTACCTACTGTGTGCAGTGGTTTTGACAGAACAGCCTGGATCCTCCTCTTTTCGGGTCCTCCGCAGGCTCTCCTGGCCCCTCCCTTCTGTCAGGTGCTCCCACAGCAAGCAGTACCCAGTGTAACAAAATTACTTTCAGTTTGTAAAACTACTCCACACCGGATTTGTTTTCCCTAAATTTTTCCCAAATGTCCATTTTTTCCCAGAAACAAAAAAAAAAAAAAAAAAATGTTTTTTCTTCATGGCTTCCAAAATTCCAGAAATTTCACATCTCTAGACTGGACCCTTTAGCCTGCTGTAGGTCATCAAGGAACTCAGTCCCCTCATCACCCCTATGTTGTTTTTCCTGCCAACAGGCTGACATCAGTGTGAACCAAATTTTCAGTATATTTAAAAAATATTATGCAACTTTTATCTGCCTGTTACGCCCTTGCCACCCATTTCCTGTACCTCACTACATTGCCACACTCGGGGCTTAAAATTTCAAGTCCTGAGCTACTAGCCAGGCCTTAAGAGTTACTCGCCACCAGTTGCCCCACCCAACCCCTACCCTGCTACACCCCTAATTCCGCTCCTAAACACGCCCTCGTAAATTATTTCATGAAATGACACTGTTAAATGTTACCCACATTACATCAGGGTCCCCAGAGTCCCCCACATTACATCAGGGCCTCCAATGTCCCCCTAAACACTCCATCATACTTATGCAGGCCATAAACGGGGAGAAAAACGGCAGATTTTTCTTTTAAAAGCGGCCGACGTTACCATCAATGGTAAAAAAAAAATTCGTCCGATTTTCATCCTGTCTACAGCCGGCAAAAAGTGTCCCTGCAGAGAGCTCTGCTATTTCTTTGACAGTTCTTTGACAGTTCCTTGACATTTACAGAGGTTGCAACAATGTATCTATTTGTATCCATTTAGCATACAGATGTTTTTATTCGGAAACAAATAGATACAATGTTGCAACCTCTGTAAATGTCAAGGAACTGTCAAAGAACTGTCAAAGAAATAGCAGAGCTCTCTGCAGGGACACTTTTTGCCGTACTTGAATTCCTCTTATTTTTCATCCTTCTTCTTCTCCTTCTTCATCAACATCCTCTTCTTCTTCTTCTTCATCATCATCCTCTTCTTCATCATCATCATCATCCTCTCTTCTTCTTCATCATCATCATCCTCCTCATCTTCTTCTTCATCATCATCATCCTCCTCTTCTTCTTCTTCATCATCCTCTTCTTCTTCTTCTTCTTCATCATCATCCTCTTCTTCTTCATCATCATCTTCTTCTACTTCATCATCATCCTCTTCTTCTTCTTCTACTTCATCATCATCATCGTCCTCTTCTTCATCAACATCCTCTTCTTTTTCTTCATCATCATCATCCTCTTCTTCTTCATCATCATCCTCATCTTCTTCTTTATCATCATCATCCTCATCTTCTTAATCATCATCCTCTTCTTCATCATCATCATCATTCATCCTCTTCTTCTTCGTCACCATCATCCTCTTCTTCTTCATCATCATCCTCTTCTTAATCTTCTTCTATTTCTTCATCATCATCATCATCATCATCCTCTTCTTCTTCATCATCATCACCCTCTTCTTCTTCTTCATCATCCTCTTCTTCTTCTTCATCATCCTCCTCTTCTTCTTCTTCATCATCATCACCCTCTTCTTCTTCATCATCATCTTCATCCTCTTCTTCTTCCTCTTCTTCTTTTTGTCTTCCTCTTGCAGGTCACTGCTCATGCGCAGATTTTTTATCGGTAAAAAATCGGCCGATTTGCCCATCATTGCTGCGAAAATCGGCCGATTTTTTTTCCAACTTTACCGATAAAAAAAAACCCGGCCAAAATACCGAAAAACGGCCGAACAAATAGCCCACTAACGATCCAAAAATCGGCCGATTTTCAACCCATCTATGGCCTGCATTAGACCATGCACCGCTTACAACCATAACCCCCCTTAATCTTTCACTCACAAAACCATAACTCTACCAAGCATATCCTACCTACTATCCAACCCAGCAATACCTCAAATGTCCCATACTCTACCACCCATAATAACCACATAATCCTGAACCTGACCAAACCACCCATACATGTAGGTTTACATACAGACACATGTACATACACACACACAAACAGAGACACCTGTACACACACACACAGACATGTACATACACAGACACAGAAACATGTACACAGACACATGTACACACACACACAGACACATACATACACACAGACACATGTACATACACAGAAATACACACAGACACATGTACATATATACACAGACACATGTACATACATACACAGACACATGTACACACACACATGTACGTACATAAACACACACATGTACACGCACAGACGCATGTACATACACGCAGACACATGTACAGATCCACACACGTATACACACACATACAAATACACACACACACACACCCCTAAAAAAGGTTGCAGTATTTCGTTACATTCACTCACAGAGCCAGGTACTGCACTCTAGGGGGAGGCAGAGAGCACAGCACACTCCTTCCTTTGCTCTCACTTTGCTCAACTATTGAGCAGTCTGACCGCTCCCAGTGCGAGTGACAGATCCGGCCACAAGTTCCGAGCCTGCTCAGCAAGACGGCCTTGGGGACACACTCGCCCCCCACCATAATTTCCACTCACCAATGCGAGCAGGCGAGTGGAAATTTCAAGGCCTGGCCACACTCATAGCTATACCTGTTGCAATGTTTATTGTCCTGGTACTGCATGTTATCCAGCAGCCCAGGAAACTAAGTTGTAGAAAGGATATCAATTTGCTTGCTGTCCATATTTGCCTGACCCTCCGCCTCTCATCCTTCTCGCCTTCCATCCCCTTTGCTCTCCATTGTATAGAAACATTCAGCTCTTAGGCTACAGGACACAACAGTAGGGAAGAGTTAAAATCCTTTACACATATGAACTGTCTGATGAACACATGGAATTCCAGTTGTTTTGCATATGTTATGCAATACTTTTCAGAAGTTTTATGTTCCCATTACGATATAATCAGAAGCCTGCACATGTATTACGGACACCTGAACTTGTTAGTAAAACACTCCATACCTATTCTGCCTCCAAAACTGCAGGACACAACAATAAGGAAGGGTTACAACCTCTGACAGTTTTTGTTTGCCTTCAAGGCTACATTTGCATTTTTGCCACCTGTGAACAGCTAAGCTTTGGACCCCCAAGCCCATGCACTTTAATGACAGCTTGATGGCGGCTACAGCTATCCACTGCTCAGCCAGGGGGGTGCTGGCTGAGTGACAACCAGATGTAACATCAGTGCTGTTGCCTGCAGTGACATACTGGAAGTAATGCAACAGATATCGGGTAAGGCTGAGACCGCAGTGTAATGTTCCTTCTGGCACAATGCAACATGCAGGCTGAATTACTTGAGTAATACTGAATTGTTTTAGCTTCTTGTGCTTTTAAAATAAATAAAGCGCTTTTTAATTATCCCCTCCCCCCCCCCCCTTTCTTGTTCACCATATGGGGAGTTCCACAAGAGAGGAGAGTCAGGACTGGGAGTCATATGAGATGGAAGGCATCTGTAGAAGCGTGATATGCCAATCTGTAAAAAGAGAGGCATTGTTGTCTGGTGAGTCCTAGTCTCCTGGGGAGAGTTGTTTGACCACTGGAGCACTTTCTATTCATGGTGGAGAGCTTGAACTTTCATGAGAAGCTTATTTAAAGCAGAACATCACCCAAAAGAGGAAGTTCAGCTTCTCTGCATCCTAACCCTCCTCAATTATTGGCACTCTTTGGGGGTGGGGTGAGCAGGTACCTGGTTTTGACAGGTACCTGCTTCCACTTCCTCTAAGACTGCTTTGTTGATCTGTGCAGAAGTTCACCCTCCTCCTTCCCCCCACAGCGTTCTGGGAGACATCACAGGTCCCAGAAGACTGCGGGACCATTCAAAAAGTGCAGCATATGCAGTTAGAACCAGCTGTGAAGCCACAAGAATTCACTGTTTCCCTTACTTAACACCTTCCCGCCCAGCCTATAGCAGAGTGATGGCCGGGCGGGACACTCCTCGTTGTGACTGGGTGTCATATGACGTCCTGTCAAAACGAGCCACTCACGAGGCCGTGCAGTGACACGATCTGTCACCAGCTGTGTCCACAGGACACAGACAATGACATATCACTACACATTGACAGTGTCATGTGACTGCTGTGACCAATCACAGCAGATCACATGTCAATTGTATACAATTGACTTCCTGTCATGCCATCCATTGTATACAATTATGTTGTTAGCTGTGAATGGTCAAGGCAGTCACATGATACAGACAGGGCCAATCATACCCATCTGTATCATGTGATCAGTTTCGCCCAATTACAGCTAATCATAACAAAAGACTGAATTAATCAGTTTCATTCAGTAACAATGATTGCAAACATCAATTAAATACATTGGCAATAGCAATCATAATGTGTTAAAAAAAAAAATCCTGATCACTTGCCCAGAGGTACTATGGTAACATTGTATTGCTTTCGTCAGTGTGCTGAAAAATAAAATAGTAAAAAAAAGAAAAAAATGTAATAAAAAAAAATTTAAAAATATAAATATTTGAAAAAAAATACAAATTCAAAGAAATGTAGCAGAATACATTTTGACCTAAATGTATGAAGAAATGTTATTTATTTGCAAAATTTTATAACAGAAACAAAGAAAAGTGCATTTTTTTCTCAAAAGTTTCAGATGTTTTTTTTGTTTTATTTAGCAAAAAATAAAAAACTCAGTGGTGATTAAATACCACAAAATAAATCTTTATTTGTGTGAAAAAAATTATAAAAATTTCATATGGGTACAGTGTTGCATGACCGCGCAATTGTCATTCAAAGTGTGACAGCCCTGAAAGCTGAAAATTGACCTGGGCAGGAAGGGGGTAAAAGTGGCCAGTATTGAAGTGGTTAAGATGCTGGCGCATGAACATGATTGAATAATCGGCTTTGGTGAGCAAAACGCTGGATCCTTGAATAGGTAAGTGTCCTTTTATTAAAAGTCAGTAGCTACAGTATTTGTACCTACCTGCCTGGAGTTTGCATGTTCTCCCTGTGCCTGCGTGGGTTTCCTCCGGGTACTCTGGTTTCCTCCCACACTCCAAAGACATGCTGGTAGGTGAATTGGATCCTGTCTAAATTGGCCCTAGTATGTGTATGTATGAATGTGAGTTAGGGACCTTAGATTGTACGCCCCTTGAGGATTAGGGACTGATGTGAATGTACAATATATATATGTAAAGCGCTGCGCAAATTGACGGTGCTATATAAGTACCTGAAATAAATAAATCATTTTTCCTGGGGGAGACTGGAGTTCCTCCTTAAACTGTTGTAGGATGGACTAATCTTTATTTGAGCACTGGATCATTTGTAATTTTTTTAGGTAAGTTTATAGGTTTATTTAGAACTGTGGCAGGACAGACTAATCTTTATCATACACTTGGTCACTTTGGTATATATAGTGGTGCTTATTTGTATAAAAAATATAGCACTGGCAATTTTTTATGTTGCATTATATTTGTGCTCTGTGAAAGGATCTACAGTATCAATAACAAGTTTCTCCCGGGCAGAATGAGGAAATAGTACAGCTAAAGTGGTGGAGTATGTGTGGCAGCAGATTTGTCATAACTCTCATAAGACTGAATCGCATAATACTTGGGTTTGCATGTGGCTAGCCAGCATGGTTCACAAAGTTTTTGCTTTGTCCTTGCAATTCATTGGTGACTCGTGCAAAATATAAGGTGCTCTCTCAAGGTCTCTGGTCACAGTAATCAAAGAGAATCATTGACCACATAACCATCAACTAAGGAGAGTTTATGTCTCATCCTGGAGTAAAGCCTAGTACACACAATGAGAATATCGGACAAATGATTGTCCATATTTTATTCTTTTACACGCACACATACTAGATAGCTAAACTAATCAACTATGATTAAAGCCCTGAAGGGCTGAAATACGTTAGGGGATTGTTTTTGTACTAGCTGTATTGCCTTTATATGAATGTTGAACATTTCGGAATTCATGACTGTGTGCAGGACTGTTACTACATGTTCATTAAAGTAAAACACAGAAGCCATTTTTATGCATCTGTGGTTCCTACTGATTGATGTTGAGCTGCTGAGCATGTATGCTTTCTATTCATATACCAGTTTTTGCATTTACAGCATCATGCATGTTTTGCAGAGCATGTAGCATAGGTTGCTATGTGCTGCTATACTGAACCACACTTGAAGCAGTTCTGTGTATGTGCAACTCTGCATTGCAGTATAAGAAGCAGATGCTGAATTCACAGCCTGTGTATTGTCAATAGTCCCCCTGACTAAGGGTTTTTGCCTCAGCCAAAGCAGCTTCACTTTGTCTTCAGAATCTAATAGCCTTCGCTAGTGTGAAATCAACATTTCTCTAATATGGGCTGTTTGTTGTTCTACTAGTTGGTCTCCTAGTTCCTGTGATAGAACATCAAATTCACAGGTAACAACCACCTTCTTAAAGCTGCTATAAAACTGTACTTCAGATTCGCCATTATGCTGTCCACATTGTCGGAATTCATTAAATCATAAAACACATTTACTTTAGGCACAAAGTTGCAGTAGGAGCTGTATCGCAAGGGCTCTTTCACATGGGGAACTTTATTGTAGGTCTGCGTTTTCCCAACCTAGGGATGCACAGGTGTTGCATGCATCCCCGTGCAAACGTGCCATTCATTTCTACTAGTGGTGCACCGAAATTAAAATTCTGGTGCCGAAACCGAAAATTCAAAATGCACATGGCCGAAAACCGAAACAGAAATGTGCAGTTTTTAAAAATTAATATATATTTTTTGGGGAAAAAATATACTTTGATTAAAAAAAAAACAGACAAAAAAAAAAAATATACCCCAATTTTTTTGTAAAATATGAAAGAGGATGATATGGCGAGTAAATAGATACCCAACATGTCATGCTTTAAAATTGCACACACCTGTGGAATGGCGTGAAACTGCAGTATTTAAAAATCTCCATGGGTGATGCTTTAAAAATTTCTACAGCTTAGCAGTGTAAAGTTACAGAGGAGGTCTAGTGCAAGAATTATTGCTCTTGCTCTGACGTTCGTGGTGATACCTCACGTGTGTGGTTTGAACACCATTTACATATGTGGGCATGGCCTATGTATGGGTTCACCACTACATGTGAGCACGGGAAGACGGGGGCACTTTAAACTATTTTTTTAAATTTATTTAATGGGTTTTTTTTTGCACTGTCCATTTAAAAAAAATGTTAATCACTTGCATGCATCCCTTGTGATAGAAATAATTAGTGACAGGTCCTCTTTATGGAGAGATATGGGGTCAATAAGACCCCACATCTCTCCTCTGCAATGTAAAGCATTGGATAAAAAAAAGCATTGATCTAGTGCTTTAAAAAAAAAATGTTCGGAACCGGAAGTGACATTGCTCCAGTCCTCCAAGGGCATAGAGATGAATAAGGGCGATCTTTCCTTCACTAATCTCTATGCCCAGCGCAGAGATCGTTTGATGGTTTCTCAGGTAAGGCTGAGGACTACCGAGTGGCGGACAGTGGCAGGCAGGCGGCGGCGAGGGGCAGCGGTGAGGGACAGGATTTTTTGGCACCTGTATCGGTGCTTTTTTTCATGTTGGCGAAAAGTAGTGTTTTCGGCCAAAACGTTTCAGACATCGAAATTTTGGTGC